AAATATTAAAACAGAAGCACTAAACTTGCTGGAAGCTAAAACAACACCACAGGTTTATAATAATCAAAAATCCATATGAGGATACTCAACACAATGCATAATGTAGCTACTTCAATGATAAATTACAAGGAAAAAGGAAAGATGAAAGAGGCAGCTGTAGATTAAAAGAGATTTAAGAGACAGCAATCAGTGTGTTTATCTTATTTAAAGCTGTAAAAAAATTCTTTTTTGAGAAAGAAAAAGCAACAGAAATTTGAACACTGACTGAATACATGGTCATGTTGCTTACTTTATGTGTGGCCTTGGCTGATAATCTTCCCCTGCTCAACTTTGGTCCTTCCATCTATGAAATGAAGCAAGGGACCCCTAGGACTTGTGGGGGACCTAACTCTGGTCTCCTTTTACTTTGTCCTCTCATGTGAACCTGGATCCCTTTATTCAGTGCCTGTATGAACCCTGCCATGTGTCTACAGAGTGTAAAACAAGCAGGAGAGGGTGTGGTAAGTATCAGCTCAGGGTATTGACTAGGAGGAGCTACCCTCCTTAGGCACCTCTTCAGGAAGATCACACTGCATAATCTCAGGTGGGCTGGTCCAAAGCCAAGGGAAAGCAGAGAAATCACTGGACAAGCACACACATCTGTGGATCACGGGCAGGAGTTACCTGCTTATCAGGATGCTTGACATTGTTCTGATGCCTAGGAACTTCTTGGGCATCCCCTGGACCTGCGCCCAGTCTGGTCACCTGTCCAGGATGCCAGTGGCATTGAGCTGCTTTTGACAGACTCCTGTGAGTGCAAATGAATAATGTCACAAGGATATTATCTGCCCCTTGCTTCTCTGTCCCTATCTCAGCCCAACTTCCCCTTCAAATACTATCTCTGTTAAAACATTACTCTTAGCAAGGAACATCAAGATGCTTGACATAATGGGGAAGGGAGGTTGAAAGGGGACCCTGCTTTCTGAAACATCACAGAGGTTTAACCAGGTTAGCCACCTGTGATATTGCAGCATCTAACCTGAAAATTGGTCTGCTTCATAACAATAGAATTTCAGTCAAGGTGTGTGTGTGTGTGTGTGTGTGTGTGTGTGTGTGTGTGTATATGTGTGTGTGTGTTTGTGTGAGTGTGGTTTAGGGTATGTTTCCAAAGCCACTTTGAGAATCACAATATTCTGGTGTCATCTTCAATTAATGTTTATCAACTTTGAGTAGCAGATCCAGACCTGTGATTGCTATCTTGCTAGAATTAGATTTTTTTTAAATTTGGGAGCACCAGGACTTCTGGTATTGAGGGATCAGTGTTATGGTTTGTACCTACATGTCTCCCCACCAAAGCCTTATGCAGTCATAGGATTATTTTCAGAGGTGGCTGAATCTAGAGTGTGTGATGCTGGGATTAAGGGTATAAAACTACTACATCAGTTCACTGATTGGTTTGGCACCACTCTAATCCCAGTAGTCTGGGTGAAATAAAAGGGGCAGAAAGACACTATTAAGTTTCCCTTGTTGCTTTTGCTACTTTGGACACACCATGTTGTTTCTCTTCTGTGATGCCTGTCTGCCATCCACCCTGCCTTGGAGCCAGCTGATTGTGAAGTAAAACCCCTACAAACTGTGAGCTAAATAAGCCCTTTCTCCTTTAACTTAGTTTTTTTTTTCTTTTTATTGAGTTTATTGGTACAATCTAGGTATACAATACAGTTACATTCATTATTGGGATTCTGTACCTTTACATAATAGGTCTTGATTCTCATTTTTTCCCCTTGTCCCTGCCCTCCCTTCACCCCCTCCTCCCCTCCCCATTTACAAACACTTTATTTCCAGTTTTTCAATTTCTCATATTTTTTCCTCTCCCTTATTACCTTTTCCCCACCCTTCCCACTTTCCCTACACCTTTAGTCCTTTACTTCCCATTTCACATTATTAATTATCTCATTAGGATCCTGTGTACTATTATAGTTTTTTGCACCAGAGAAACTATTCGGTATTTCAGTTAAAGAAATCTCTGTATGAACATTAAAAATAGGAAATCCTAAAATAAAACTAAAAAGGAAAGTAAAAGAGAAAAGGCAATGATGTAAGATTAAAATAATCCTTAATTCTGAGATGAAAATGGTCCCTTAACATATTTAAATTGCTTCTTGCTCTTATAGTCTTATCTTATTCTTTTTTTCATTATTTAGAGAATACTTTATTAGTTTTTGTAATCAAGCCCACGTAGATATGACTTTACATATTTAATATAGTGCATTACCCCTGTACAAATGGAAAAAAATAAAAATAAAAATAAAAAAAATTAACATTTCTAGACCGATATGGCTGTCCATTTCTGTACAATGCCAACTCAACACAGTAAATTGGGATAACTTTTTCCAAAGTTGACAGCACAGTTAATCTCCTTTAACTTTGGATATTGGGTATTTTGTCTCAGGAATGAGGGGAAAGGAATTAAAACAGAAATTTGGTATCAAGAGTGGGGCTATTGCTATAACTATATCTGACCATGTGGCTCAGAGACCTTTGGGACTGGCTTGAGGGAAGAGTTTGGAAAGGTTTGGAGGTGCTGGCTGGAGAAGTAGAGCTGGAACGCCTTAGGCTGTGCTGGTGGGAGTGTCTGGTCGGAGCTCAGAACCCCAGAAAGCCAGTAAAGATCAGGCTCAGAAGGTTTTTGCTGGGAAAAAGGACTGCACTGGCTGCTGGACTCCAGATCATGTGTGTTGTGCCTTGGCAGAAAGTTTGTCTGCATTTTGTTATGTACAGAGATTTTGCATGAAACTGATATTAAGGGTGTCGGGCTAATTAATCTGGCTGAAGAAAATATCAAGGCAATCTAACGTTCAGGCAGTGGCTACTGTTGGGGACTTTTAGCCAGATTTATTTTGAGAAACGAGCCCAGTAGAATGATTTAAAACATTTTAAATTTGGCCAGAAAGGAAGCACCAGTTTAAACACCAGATGGAGTAGAGGAGTTCTTGATTACTGAGAAAGAACAGAATAGAAAAGATAGCCTGAGGGCATCACAAGAAGCAGCAGGACTCCACCCTTTGCAGCTTCAAACTTGCAAAAGTGAAAACTTTGCTTTGAGAAGAGAGCCACCGAGCATCATGTTCCAGAAAAGTGTTGACCTAGGGGAGTTGTTCCTTGAAATTTGCTCATAGGCACTGGACCTCTACAGCCAAGAGAGAAGGAAGCCTGGCTACTGCTCCACTGGCAGCAGACCTTGGCATCATCCACATGGTGCTGATTTTAGGTGTAAGTAGAATGCAGGAGTTCTGGGGCCAGGAAGGTTTCCATCCAGATTTCAGAAGAAGGTCTGGGAGGCCAGGCAGTGTGCCCCTGAGAAGGCAGTGTGTGAAGCTGCAGTGGAGACCACAGAAGTTTGGAGAAGCCAGGAACATGGATCATCTGAGGAAAACTGCCAGAAGGGAGCAGAGCCCGAGCCCAGAGAGAAAAGCCACAGGAGCTACAACCATCTGCAGTGCCATAAGGGTGGAGCCACCAAGCCCTTTGGAGTTCCAAATTTACCACAGATTTCTGGGGATGCTGGAAGTAGAACTATGGGATTTAATGTTTTACTTGTTGGATTTTGAACTTGCTTTGGTCCCATTAGTACCAGAAATCAAACTCAGGGCCTTGTATTACTGAGCTATATCCCCAGCCCTTAGCTGTCTATAATATCACCATTCTAAAAAGAGTTAATCTGATACTAACTACAATAGGTAGATCCCTTTTGGTTGTAAGTGACAGAAATCCAGTTCATGTGAGAAGTGACATTTATTGTTTCAGAAATTCAGGAAGAGAAGGGTATATTTGGGCCCTGAAAAGGTTGGATTCTGGGACTAGACTCAAGCACAGACTCTTCCCTCTCTTGGAGGCCTCACCTCCCACATGAGATGTATCTACACAAATTTAAACTACTGCCTCTGACCTGCACCTAAGGGTTTCCTATGAGAAGTTGGGCTCCACTGGGGGTAGAGACATCCCCTGTGGCCTGAGGGCAGGATCCTGTGACCAGCAGCCCCAACCAAAATTTGGCAGGAGAAGAAGCTCTACAAAGTTCATCTTATTCCCACAAAGGAAGGGAGTTGGCAGCCTGAACTCCATACTTCCAAGCAGTCTCCCTCATACTTGTCACCTCATCTTCCAAACTGATCTATTTCTCCCCAAAGCTTGGCCAGTTTCCATGCTTCAAACCAGTGTAACAGAGTGATGATGTCACAAAACCAGGGTTCCAGAAGGCTGGGGTAGCCCAGCACTCCAACCTTCTTTAGAATAAGAAGAGCCCTTAGTTGGGTGCAGCTGGAGTGCAGGGTGAGGACGGAGGTTCCCGCCCCAAACCACTTTGTTTTACAGATTTTCACAGAAAGCCTCAGGCTGACTGAGAACTGGGGCCAGAGAGGGATTAAGAAGGATAAGCTTCAGAAGAGCCTGGGAACACAGGCACTAAGACCACACTGTCTTCTTCAAGAGGATCCCCAGAGGAGGTTTAAATGGGCAGAATTGGAGCTCCTGGCCTCACAAGGCTCACAGACACCAACTTTGAGGGAACCTGCTGAGGCGAAGTGGTGGGGGGGCGTGTGTGAGACACACACTGAACAGCCATTTGTTGTGGCCTGAAATTCTAAACGGTTACTTAGTAATTTCGTTTGCTAAATCTGGCAACTTTTTAGGGTGGAGGGCAGTGAGAATACAAAATAAATAAATAAATAAATAAATAAAAAAAATAAAGTCCCTAAGGACAGGTGGGAGTGGAGTGAGCCAACTGAGGAGCTCAGATTGGGAGCAAGCCCACCAAAGAGGCCATCTTATCATGCATGCCGCAGGTGTTGGGCACCCCAGGAGCAGAGTGGAGGGGAACCCTGGCCTTACCCTCAGCAAAACTCCTGGTTTAAGGGGGAGGACAGATACTTCCATGACAGAAATAGCGCGCTGTCTTTGTTTTCACTCTGTTGACCATTTTGAAGAATCTGGGCCAATTATTTTGTATATTTCCCCACCAGTTTGGCCTTGCTTCCCCGGATTAGATCCAGCGTATGCATCTTTGGCCAGAAAAGTATACAAGAGGTGTGTGTCCTTCTCGGGGCATCATATCTGGAAGCAGGGTGTCCCAGTGTACTCACTGATGAAGTTAATTTTGACTGCACGGTCAAAACACTGTCTGGTTTCTCCACTGTGCAATTACTCTTTTCCCTGTGCAACAACTAAAAAAACCTGCAGGGAGACTCAGACCACATACATGTCTAGGCCTTCATCCTTCCTAACCCCTCAAATTTAGCTTGCATTGAAAATTCTTGTTCAGGCCAATCTATGATGACTGCAAAACATGAATGGTTACAGGGTTTTGTTGATTCTGGGAAAATGTTTTAAAATTCACTGTGGCGATAGCTGTACAAATCAGCAAAGATACTAAAAACTATTGGATTGTACATTTTAAATGAACTAATGTGGCAGGTGAGATTTATATTCTGCCTAATATCTCAACAAAGCTGCTACAAAGATGTTATCCCAGATTTGGTCAGCTGAGATCCTTTTGATATAGTTCTTATGTGGATTTGATGTGCCCCATCTATATTGTAAGCATTTCTTTAATTTCTGGTACAATAGGATAATCCAGAATTACCTTACACTCTTTCCTGCTCTAGCCAAGGGATTTGCTGTGTTCCCTGGAGCCTCAGTTCCATTTTGTGGGCATTTATTTCACTTAATTATCACTTCACCCCATTATGTAAGTATTAGTATATTTCATTTTACAGATGAGGCCAGGCAAAGTTAAAAATGGTGTCTAAAGTCTCACAATAGTCCAACTTTTGAAAGAAGGCAATATGAATCAAAGCCTTGGTTTTCACCACACACACACACACACACACACACACACACACACACACACACACACAGAGGAAGTTTATTCCTACACCAAACCACTCTTACGTGGTTTCTGATACATGCTTTTGAGTAGAAGTAAAAAGGTAGAATCTGCAATCAGCCCATCAGGAATTGCATGAGGCAGGGTATGCCCCTAGGGAAAGTTATGTGTTTTGTGCCTGGAGCTATGGGGTTAGGAATTAGCACTCAATGTCCTAACCTTCTTCTAGAAGCATATCTTCAAATATGCTCATAGAAATGTTGGTGAAGCATGGTTTTAATTGATCTCCTTTGCCAACTTCATTCTCTACCCATAACCCAAATGCCACTCTCAGCTGATGTTCATTACAAGAGGATCTGTGGATGAAACCAGGTTGGTCTTGGTTTTTAACTGTTGAAATGGAGAATGAATGGAAAAAAGTTTACTTTCTTTTTGTAAATGTTAAAACATTTTCTGTGATAAAACATTCTAAAATAGTGAACAAGAGGAAAAAAGACTGAAAACAGGTGGTGAGCAGTAAGTAAAGAAAAATATTTGTCTCTCCTTTCCAAATTCCGCAGGCTCTCTAAGAAGACCAGCAGAAGTCTGTGAGACAAGAGTGGTAGGCCCTGCTGGGGCCCTTATCCACTCTGAAGATGGCCAGGGTGCTGCTTATATCCTTGGCCAGCTGCCTCCTCATTGTAAATCAGGCCTCCAGCATCAGACGCTGTGATTTGGCCAGGGTTCTGCATGAGGAGCATTTGGATGGGTTTGAGGGCTACTCCCTTAGTGACTGTGAGTGCCTCTTCTCTGGCCTCTCCCCTCTTCCTCCTCTCTCATTCACACCTACCAGCCATTGTCTTTTTCTCTCAGCATCTTTCAAAGCCAAGTTCAAAAAGCACCCCCCCAAATGGGGGGTGTCTTTCCTAACATTCCTATTCACTCAACAATTGTTAACTGAGCACTTGTTATGTACCAAGAACTGATTATTGTTCTAAGGATAGAGATAAAGTTCCTTCCTTCACAATGTTCACATCCTAGAGGAAACGAGCAACAATAACACACACACAGACACATACAGGTACTGGTGGTGCAGATACATGCTTGAAAAAGAATAAAGCAGAGGGAATGATCTATTCTAGGTAGAGACATCATGTTAAATAGCACTGCATGAAAGCAGAAATCCAGGCATCCAAATGCCCGGAGGAAGAACATTTCATTTTGGGCAGAGGAACTGTCAGTGCAAAGGCTTCTTTTTCCCAAAGATTATCTTCTTCTAGCATAGAATTTGGGCACAATTATCTTGTGACACCTTTTTCTTGTATCTTCCATTATAGCCTTTTTCATTGGTACTGGGGATTGAACTCAGGTCCTTGCGCTTGCAAGGCAGGCGGTGGAACCACTGAGCCAAATCCCCAGCCCTTCCATTGTAGCCTTTTAAAGGTGCATATTGTAATCCTTGAACTATGGGCCCATTGAAGGCAACATCTGTGCTTGACTCAGATGAATGTCTCTTGCTAGACTTTTCATAATTCCCGGCACACAATAGGTGCTCAGTGAGTACAGAGAGCATAGAGGGAAGAAAGGATTCTGTACTGATGGATGGACCAAAGGATGAGAAGAGAAGCCTGTGGGTGTTTATAGCTCTCCAGCACCACCTAGCCCATCAGGCTATCTTCCTTTCTTCTGATTGCTTTTCTCCCTTTCTTGACTATTTCCTTTCTCACTCAGTTTGGTCCTCCATAAATCCTAAACCATCCTCTTTCTGTTCTAAGGGTTGTGCCTGGCCTTTGTGGAAAGCAACTTCAGCATATCAAAGGTTAATGAAACTGCAGATGGAAGCTTTGACTACGGCATCTTCCAGATCAACAGTCACTATTGGTGCAACGATTACCAGAGTCACTCTGAAAACTTTTGCCATGTGGACTGTGAAGGTCTGACCAGGGCCCCAGGGCAGGAGGGGTTAGAGGAGAGACAAGGTCTACTCACATGACCCTCTCTTCCTCTCACAACGAGGGCATGTGCAGAGGGACACTTCAGAGAATCAGGGACTCCTTTACTGAGCAGGGGCTTGGCCTGGTGGCCCCCATGCCCAGCCGGGCAGGAATTTCTGTAGGAACCTTGAGCCTGAAGTTCAGAAGGGCTCTGAGCAGCTAGAAGTAGTAAAGCAGCTACAGCAGCCCGTTAGCAGAGAGTGTGTTATATATTAAACACTTTACAATCAGAGCTCATTTAAACCCAGTTTCTCTGCAAGAAATTGTTCGCTATCTCTACTATATAAATAAGCACACTAAGAGACATTGTGCTGAATGCCACTCAGTTCTAACCACTCAGTTCTTGAGATCTCAATTCTAACCATGGAGTGGTACACAGGCTAATGGTCTGACTGAAGTCTGAGTACAGTCTTCTTACCTCTGAGAGGTGATCTGAGAGGATCTGAGAGGCCTGACAAGGCCCATGACTCTGCCCTTTGCCTTCTCCTTCCTACTGTGACTAATGGGCTCCTTGCCTGAAGAGCCCCTTCCCTAGGCAACCACCATCTACCCTGGCTAGGAAGAAAAGTATGGACAGGCCCAAATCTTAGTCTTCCTCCCCTCTTGCTCCTACCCCACCACCCCTGGTAGCTAGTAGCCATTGTAGGTTAGTTGTCTCACTGCACCTGGGAGGGAGGCTTTTCCAACCTGGAAAATACTGAGGCCCTGAGCTGCAGTCCTCTGCAAGAAGGATAGGTGTTAGCCCCTGTCTTTGGAGTCATCTTCTGTGATCTCATGGGTGTTCTCTTCCTCTCTTTCAGATATACTGAACCCCAACCTTCTCTCAGCCATCAGCTGTGCAAAGATGATTGTATCCGGATCAGGGGGGATGAAGAACTGGTGAGGGAGATACACTGGGACCAAGTTAGTTGGCGGAGCTTCAAGAAGCAAGACACAACAGAGAAAGGGGCAGTAGGCAGGGAACCCTGGGCACTCACTTGTAGCAGTCCAGAAAATTGTGGGTGGGCTTTGGACTCAGGATTAGAAAACCTAGGTTTGGTTCTTTCTCTGATAGTGTATTAAATCAGGCTCTTTCGGGTGCCACAATAGCCATTTGAGCTAGCCAAGGGAAACTTATTCTGAGAGTAGGAGCGCTCACTGAGCCCACTGAGCTGAGCCTCCAGGATGGAACAGAAGAAAAACAATGTTGGAAACTGTCAGAAGCTTTCCAGGGCAGGTTTCTCCTTTTGTTGGTGCTTCTTCTGCCTGCAGTCCACAAGACCATGGGTGCCCAAGTGTATCATCAAAGCTACCCTATGATCTGATGAGGCTCAGCCCTAGCGACAGGACAAAGGATTTGATTGATTCAGCTTGGGTCATGTGTTTCCCCTTAGCCCAATCAGCTATAACATGGGAAGAGTTCAGCAATACAAACGAGACTACAGTAGGGGCCCTTTCCCTGTAAATGACAATATTTTCTGTTAAATGTGTGGTGCTCATCAGCTAGGCAGATACCCTCAAAATTTTCAGTTCCTCAGCAGTGGACGGTCAGGTGTCACTCACCTATTCTGTATACATTTACGAACCGAGGGTAGAAATAATACCAGTGGTTACCTCTACAGGTAACTGTGAGTACAGGAGTTGGGAGCTCTGCAGACTCAAAATGCTCTACAGGAAGGGGCACTGATAACTATTAGGTCTTATCCTTTTGGAGGAGTGTCAGTGATTACATCTGGATTTTAAAAAAGTAACTCTCAGTCTTTATAAAACAGTGCTGCCTACCTTCAGGGGTGAGAGTGTGAAGATTTGAAAATTTGAATGCATACTGAATGGGGGAAGAGAGCAAATATCAGGCAGGAGGGAAATTTAAAGGAAAAATCAGGGGACCCAGTAGAAGGCAGTAATGAAGGTGCTTTGGGCATTTCTCTGCAGGGAAGACTCACCAGGACTTGGGCGAGGTATGTGAAGAAGCTACTAATGGAATCAAGAACCATGTCTTTTCTCCTCTGCAGGATAGAATGGAGGTTGCACTGTGCAGGCCAGCCACTCTCCTACTGGAAGACCAGGTGCCGTCTGGGATGAAGCAGGTTACAGGGCTGCTGGAACTCATTCCAGGGCCCCTGTCCTCATCTGGGGATTCTACTTCCTTTTGCTCCCACTTGGTATTATTTTCTGCCTTCTCCACAAGTAGAACAGACAAGAGCCCAAGGATAAATGCCTTTCTTAGGCTTTCTCCATGTCCCCATCCAAGACCCATGTTCTTGTTCCTGTCAATTCCAAACCTACAGAACCACAATAATTATCTATTATTTTTATTTATTAAAACACTTCCTGGGCAAAGAATATTACAATGTACTCATTATTTTTTTTCTTTTTATTGAGTTTATTGGTACAATCTAGGTATACAATACAGTTACATTCATTATTGGGATGCTGTACCTTTACATGACAGGTCTTGATTTTCATTTTTTTCCCCTTGTCCCTGCCCTCCCTTCACCCCCTCCTCCCTTCCCCATTTACAAACACTTTATTTCCTTTTTTCAATTTCTCATATTTTTTCCTCTCTCTTATTACCTTTCCCCCACCCTTCCCACTTTCCCTACACCTTTAGCAGTTTACTTCCTATTTCACATTATTAATTATCTCATTAGGATCCTGTGTACTATTATAGTTTTTCACACCAGAGAAAATATTTGGTGTTTCAGTTAAAGAAATCTCTGTATGAACATTAAAAATAGGGAACCCTAAAATAAAACTAAAAAGGAAAGTAAAAGAGAAAAGGCAATGATGTAATATTAAAATAATCCTTAATTTTGAAGATGAAAATGGTCCCTTAACATATTTAAATTGCCTCTTGCTCTTTTAATCTTAACTTATTCTTTTTTTCATTATTTAGAGAATACTTTATTAGTTTCTGTAATCAAACCCACGTAGATATGACTTTACATATTTAATACAGTGCATTACTCCTGTACAAATGGAAAAAAAAAAAATAAAAATAAAAAAATTAACATTTCTAGACCAGTATGGCTGTCCATTTTTGTACAATGCCAACTCAACACAGTAAATTGGGATAACTTTTTCCAAAGTTGACAGCACAGTTAAAATTTCCAAAAATTCAAATTATATATAT